GGTTGTGATTAATCATGATAAAAAATTAAAATTTTAAATTTACAATTTCAAAGAACATATGTGAACAAAGGGGAAAATGATATTTATGTAATTTTCTTTTTTATGTAACTCCCATATCATTAATTGGGAGTTACAAAATCAAAAAATCTCATTATTTTTATTAATTTATTTTTGTTAATGTAAGAACTATATGAACACACACACATATATATGAACCATTGTGTCAAATACGAACAAAAATTGACATATATATGAACTTGGACTGTATAACATTTATGAACATAATATGAATATAATTAGAATAGTTGTTACACGAAAGCAAATAAATAAAAAAACATGTATGAACATAATATGAACAGTTTGTGAACAATAGTTCCTTCATTATGAACACATTCAGGAGAAAGCCAATGTTGCGATATGCAACTAGTGTACATATGAACACAATATGAACAGTTTGTATAGTTCTTTCATTATGAACACATTCAGAAGCAAGCCAATGTTGAGAWATGYAGCTAGTGTAYATATGAACACAATATGAACACTTGTGAACAATTCTTTAACAATTACATATGAATTCGAATTCCGATTGTAGTCGTAGACGATTTTAACCTTTTCATTTTCAATGTTGTCGATCTGTTTTCCAATAGATTTATCCATATTATTCGGACGATATCGAAATCTTTACAATCGGAAATTCTTTAACAATTACAAAATCAATATCATTATGGATAAAATAAATCAAAATTACAAAACATGAACACGTATAAAAAATATCAATATTACATAATTATCAATTATTGAAATTTTTATATTTGTAACTCCCAACTAATGATTTGAGAGTTACATAAATGACAAATTACTCAATTACCATTGTCATTAATATATGAGTTATATGTGAACCTAAAGAAAAGATAAAATATGATTGGTTGAGCTTGGTTAACAAAGTTAACACAAAAATTTTGGTTAGTATTTGAACCAACCCCTATATATATATATAAGTAAAAACCCATAAAGAATGAGGTGACATCCTAAAAATTGAGTATTCTTCATTTCTTGAATTGTGGTTGAGTTTGTGTATCCCACATCGATGAAAATATGAAATATTTACAATGAATGGTGCACATTTTAAAGAGAGATTTAAGTTGTTTTTGTGGCAACTCATGAGGTTGACTCATTTTGGTTAATCCTCTAAACTCACGTTGTTGGCTCGTTTTGGCGGACCCTCCAAACTCATGGTTTGCTTATTTGGCCAACCTCATTTTAGCAAAAAAAAAATTAATCATACAAAATAAAAAAAATCTTTATCTTTATGTATAATAAAATAAACAGCACAAAGAATGAAATGATATTAAATGAAGACCAAAGAGGTATTGAGTTGACATTATGAGAATGGAGCATTCTCAAATAGTGAACTTTTGTTGAGCTTTAGATATCTCACTTGTTGAGAAGTTGAAAAAATGAAATAAAGAGATATGTATAAGAATGAAGAATGGATGACAATTGTGTCAACTAATGAGGTTCGATTCATAGAGTTGTCTTATTTATATGGTCCTCTTTTTTAGTATTCCTCATTTCTTGAATTGTGTTTTGAATTTATGTATTTCACATTGATGGAGATATGAAATATCTACAATGAATGATGGGTATTTTAAAGGGAGATTTGAGATGGTTTTGTGGTAACTCATGAGGTTGACTCATTTTGGTCAATCTTCTAAATTCACGTTGTTACATCATTTTGGCCAACTTTCCAAACTAATGGTTTGCTCATTTTGGCCAACCTCATTTTAGTGAAAAAATTAATCATACAAAATAAAAAAAAAATTTATCTTTATGTATATTAAAATAAACTGCACAAAGAATAAAGTGATATTAAATGAAAAACAAATAGGTATTGAGTTGATATTATGAGAATGGAGTATTCTTAAATAGTGAAATGTTGTTGAGCTTTAGATATCTCACTTGTCCCACATTGATGGAGATATGAAACATTTATGATGAATGGTGGTATTTGTTCAAACTATGTATTCTTGAAGATTTATTATATAAACACAGTAAACTAAGAACATAAGAATAGAATACGACTTACTTGTAAAGAATTACAACCGCTTATAAGAAAAACTAGATGAAAATGCTAACCGATTACTACCTAATGAAACAGAGATAGAAAATGAGAGAAAACAAAGACTGATTGTGAAGAATGAAATATGAGAATGAGCTCAAATGAGGCGTAAGACTCATTTATATATCTTTCAATAATTGGCAGAATTTCCCCTTCAAGTTCTAAAGTTGTACTCCRCTACCCTTGTACTTTCTTCAAATGTGAGGCRCARTCCTCTTCCTTTGACAGCCAACTAGACTTCTAAATCTTGACACAATCTACCCTATCCTGTTAACAATGTAACAAACAAGGATAGAAAGTCAAATTAGTCAAAGTCAAGATTGAAATTATAAGAGTATTTTAACACCCGCCCTCAATCTTGACTTTTAAACATGTCAATCATTTTCATTTTTGAACACAAGTAATTATGATGTGTAATATTCAGGGCTTTGGTTAAAATATCTGCTATTTGCTCAAGAGAATAAATTTTTACAATTTTTAAGACACCTCTACAAATTTTTTCACGAATAAAGTGAACATCAATTTCAATGTGTTTAGTTTGCTCGTGAAAAACAAGATTATTTGCTATTTGAATAGAAGATTTGTTATCGCAAAATAAACTAACAAGAAGAAGATTATTTATATTCAGATCAGATAAAATTTTAAGCACCCAAACAATTTCACAAGACATAGTGGCCAGCCCTGTACTCAGACTCGGCGGAAGAACGTGAAACAATGTTTTGT